ATATATATATATATATATATATATATATAGAGATAAAGGAAAGAAAACCAAAGAAAACCAAATCCCAGAAGGGGGGGGGGGGGCTTGTTTCGAAGAATGTTCCATCCATTTTCTAGTTTTCCAATTGGAGTTTTGAAAATGTCTTTGTCTTTTAAGTTGTTAATATTTTAGAGGGTGAGGTATCAATTAAAATCAGACTGATTTTGTGTGTGTCTGTGTGTGTGTGGGGGGGGGGGGTGATGGCACATACGATTTAAAGGCCATTTCGCCGAGTCCTGACATACTTTTGACAATAAAAATAACCGTATACAGCCAGCATTACGTTCACATTGACACAGCTCAAACACTATTTCTTTTATTTGCAATTCATTTGAGACAAAAAGAAGAGTATGTTCCCTGCAGGAACTGTTTGAGAAGGTCAGTAAATGTGTTTCTAGTTTCCTGGGGTTAGATGTCCAGAGTCACAGTTCATCTAATCAGCAAAAACTGAAAGCGTTTTCCTCGGCTGATTGAGAGGTAAAGGCTAAGAACATTGAGACATCTAAATAGTACAAATCTTACAACTTCAAGAATGGTGTAAAGCTGGGGCCAGACTACTGCCCCTTTTGTATTTAGACAGTATAAATGAATCTTCAGACCCTTCGCCACAAAACGGCCATGTACTGCTTCCAATTTAAATTCAACGCAACGTATGACGCTTGGTCAAATATGCAAACCTCGTTCCTCTTCCCATCTTGCTCATCAATGGCTATTGACTGGTTCTAAAATAGCTATCCAAAGTCACCTGTGGTCTCACCTCTGGATTCTGTTATTTGCATCTGTGTACCTGTGAGAGTGCACCACGGTGATTGCTTGCCATTCCTCATTAAGGGCAACAGCAGAATTGTCCTCTCTCATGAGAGGAGATCATGGGAGTGAAAAGGGGTGAGGGGAAACACTCTTTGTGTTTGTGAAAGAAGGCGGTGGAAGTGGGAAACGACGACACTGGATGAATCGAGGACAAAAAAAAAAAAGAAATACGAGAATCAGACAGAAAAGTAAAAGTGTGCCAAAAAGACAGCTGAAGGGATCAAGAATGAGTGAATTGAAGTTGTGGAACGTTTGGAAATTATTCCATTCCTTTCACTCTGTTGAAGCTTTCTTTTTTTTTTTTTTTTTTTTTTCCTTTTAGGCATCGCCGGCGTCACATTAAGATCATCCATTGGAAGATCTAAGGCAATCTTTTGATGTTCTATGCGCATACACAAACAGGACTGTGGAGTGGTCGTTTGACAACAGCAAGACTACAGAAATATATTTCTGTATTTTCAGTCCCTGGGCTGTGAGGGACGATGTTAACATCTTAGGGTACTGCGCAAACGGGTGAATAATTTAATTTACCTGTTCATATTTCGTCAGTGAATACATTAAGCTGCTTTTTTTATTCCCCCTCTCATCTTTGCTCTACAATGTTGTTCTTCAACCCTGAAATGGCATTGCTTCTTGCAGCTTGGCAAGTGCATTAGGTGGAGAAGATAACTGGATTCTGTCTTTCAGGTCACATCCAGCAAAGGTTCAATAACACCTTGTTCGTAAAGTGCTATTGTTGTTTCACTTTACTACCACACTCTATTCATGCTCACACCGTGTCTCAATTAATTGGCGGGTGAATCATCCACTTGAAACACATAAGCCCCAGTCCCCAAACACACAGCTCCTTTTTCCCCCCTCAAGAGAAAAGCTCTACAATTTGGAGGTAACTGTAATTATCTCAATACATAGCAGCTACCATTTACACACAGACATTAAAGAACCAACTAAATCAAATGACAAATTTAGCCAGTCTCGTACCTGTTCTAGTATCACGTAATACTTATAAATACTTACAAAACCCAGAGAAAAACAGACATCAGAAGCTATCGACAGTAATGTAAGAGTAAATAAATAATCCCTGCCACGACAAGAGGAAATATGTTGAGTAAAATACAATGTGATAGATAGTGAACACTCACTATTCGTACGGGATAAGGCCCGAATCCTGCTGCAAAGAGCAAAAATAAAACAAGAGTAAAAATGTTTAGAATAGCCTACAGTGATATTTTGCACCATGAATATACCACAAACTATAATCCCAAAAGATTTTAATGTCATTTCAAACTAATCCCCCGTCAGAAGGACTTTCAACTCCATCCCAGGGGAGGCAGGAGACTTTGAGTGCATCATGTTCCGCTTCTCCATTGTTGAGGTGGCCGAATAAAGCAGTGGCCATAAAGTGCCTGTCATGGTGGCAACCCTCATACTCATTAGTGAACACCAGCGGTGAGGGCTGCCGTCCTATTGGTCCTTTTTTGGTCTATGGGATTCCGCAGGCAGCTCGTGGGTACCGGCTGGCGAAGGTACATGGGAGTTCACCCTACCAGTCTACTACTGTGCTTTGTGGACTTGGAGAAGGAGTTGGACCATCTGCCTCCGGGGGTCCTGTGGGGGATGTTTCGGGAGTATGTGCTTGGGCTATTTTGTCCCTGTACAACCGATGTTAGATTTTGGTCCGTATTGCTGGCAGTAAGGCGGATTTTGTTTCTGGTGGTCTCCGCCAAGGCTGCCCTTTGTCACCAATTCTGTTCATAACCTCTATGGACACGCTGGAGAGGCTCCAGGCCTATTTTCACGCGGAGCGCAAGTCAAGCACAATGCGCAGTCCAACTGTGCGCACAGGCGGAGTTTTCTTTCTTTTGATATTTGCACAGGTACAACTGAGTGTAATGGGCATTGTGCGCTGTTGTGGGATGGAATTAGTCTTTTCCCTGCCAATAGCGGGCATCTCTCATTTGCATCAATATCAGGGCGGTCCGTTATGACCGAGTAATCCGTGCTTGACATTGTGGAAACAGAAATAGAATGATGGAGCCCATGCACGTCAATGGAAGGTAAACTGCAAGATCTCCCCATCCGGATGTTGTAGTCGGCCCCGCATGTGACGTGGACAGTTGGGGCACGCCCACCTTCCCCGCCCGTAATAGTGACAGTCGGTACTATTAAGAGTTTAAGATGACAATGATTATAATATGTTCAATAAATTGATTTCTACAGTGACTCAGTGGGACTGTCCCATGCTGGTATCATGTTTGTGAATGACATCTGATGACATCAATGACGCATGTCCCCGAAGTGCCGAATTTGACTGCCTGCACCTCGATCAAATACACTGAACTTGCGCTGCACCACCCGTCCTACAAGTTAGACCAGCTTTTGACGACTCTAAAATGTAGTCTCCTTTTTGTAACCAAATTTGCAGATGCACAGGGAGCTAGGGGCAGGAACACCCAAGAGACGTGTCTTGGGTAAATTCACAAACATGCTGAACTAAATCCTTGTCCGGGCACAAAAATGATAATGAGCCCCCCTTTACGCTGAGCTCAGACTACTTTCTGTTTCCAAATTGTCGGCTGAATCATTGCGAGGGAACTTGGTGCAACACGGCCCTAAATACGGTAAACCAGACATGCACAAACTCAAGATATGTCCATTTTTATGCAAGTCTACCAAAAGAGGGCCCTATGTCGACGGTTCGCCTGGAAACGCCTCAGTATCCCCCAGTATTTGAACAAAGTGGCTGGGGAGAGAGGTTTCTGGGCTTCCCTGCTTAAGTTGCTTCCCTTGCAACTTGACCTCGGACAAGCGGAAGAGAATGGATGGATTGTTTGACAACATTATAAATACTTTTATCCCCAACTTCACCCCACTCCTTTATGACAAACGTAAAGAGTTAAGGAGTATTGCAAGACCTTTGGATCATAATTAAGTGCATGACAAGTGTCTCTCAGTATTTGTTGTATATTAATATACAATTCAAAATTTCATAGTTATTTGCAATCATATGATGTTTCAATCCTCTGCATTATGTGGTAGCCTTGACTTGTGACTTGTGTTGCAGTCTGGCAATTTGTGCACCTGCAGCTCAGCTTTTGCCCTCCTCCACCTTTTGAACCCAGTTTCATATCTTTAAAAAGTATACAAGCTATGAAAGGGTTGACCTGCAATCTTTTCTTGCAGTCTGGGTCAGCTTGCATTCTCAGCATTCAGTTAACTCACTAACCTGATTGCTGCTATTTTGCTAATTTTAACGTGAAACTAAATGTCAATGCTCATGCAAATACCAAATTTCAAAGCAGACCTACAGCAACACACAGACAAGATATACTGTATACGAGCAGCAAGAATGATGACTTGAAAAGGAAAAAAAAAAAATCAAAAGAGTTGGCAGGTGATTGCACACTGACGGGTTGGTGCTGAAAGTAACCAGACAATAAGGAAATGCCGATGAGGATGTGTGGGCAATGAGTTGAACTAGTGCTTACTTCTGGGTTTGTAAGTTTGCTTCTGAGGTCAGAAATTGCTTTGGCAGCCACCGGACTCTTCAATAAACCAGCACGGGAAATACAGAAAATCCGGTATAACGGTACTTACGGATAAGAGGCACACTGGCATTAGCGGTCCCAAGTTTATTGGTAGCGACACACGTGTAGTTCCCGTAACGATCCTCTGTCATGTTGGTCACTGTTAGAACTGATCTGGAACTGAGGCTCTTGATGTCGATGCCCTGGCCCTTGATAATCCTGAAAATTGAGCACAATGGCAAAACATGAAGCCTTGATTTCTCACCCACATGCACAGAAAATGTCAAGAGGGAGGAGGAAGGTGTCAAGGACAGCACAAATGTTTGTCATCCTGACACTACACTAAGAAGCACTTAAAGACCCTCTTCTGCCGATGTAATTCCTTGGTGTGTCACATATGAAGACTTTGGACTGTGACACTACTCTAACGAACATTGTTTGGCCTCACATTGCATTAACTGTTGCCCACTCTGTATCAATTGCAGTCTGGTCATCCTGGAAGGTGGATTCCCCCATCTGTGGCCCCTTCTCAAGGATTCTTTTCAATTGTCACGAACGACCGACACCAATTGGTACACTGCGATTGATGGCCCTTTCATTCAAATCATAACTAAAAGTCATAAACATAGCTTCTTCAAAATTCTAAATGCTGCTTATTATTTATGTTTGGTCCTGCCTATATTATGAATGTGTTGGACAAGATTGGTACATGTGCACATTTCATTTCATCAAACCGCGACTGTAAATGATATGATGAACAATGACTTGTCAATCATGTTGGTTGCTTGCTATGGTGGGAAAGTAATGACTTTGATTGACATGACCGCAAGAATCAAGTGTCCTTTACAAAAGACAGATTCTTTAAGAGTTTGTTGTTTACAGTTTCATTGGGGAAAATGTTCTTTAAATATCAAGTTCATGTAATTGTATTGCGGGAGAGTGTCATGTGATTTCAGAATAGTGCATCCACAGGTATTTTCAATTAAATGTGGGGTGGCAATATCTATGTAATCTACTAATGTTTTTATTTTATTTCACAAGCATTCGGTGACAACAATATATTTTGTGATTGCATTAAAATGTAAGCTATAGATTATTAAAATAGATGACCTGTGCATTTTCTTAAACTGAACCCCTTCAGTATTCCTGACATAATCCATCACATACTCCACAGAGGAGGCGTGTTGTGTACTCTGTGTTGACTGTGGCTGCCTCATCGACCTCCACTTTTGCTTTGCTTACAGTATGAGGAACTCTGGTTTAAACCACTTCATTAGACCTTATGTCAAGCCATGTCCCAAGGTGACATCCTCACTAATAATCTTGATGGTAGTACCAAGCAAGCTTTTCTCTTTATTTTTTTGAGTCAATATTAAACAAGCCTGCAATCTCCTCTTTCAGATCGAAAGCAAAACCGCCCAGATATACGCACGCAAGACTCCCTCGCCTCCATCCAAATTTGCGGCAGATCATGAAATGGACCATGTCAAAGATTGTTTTGCTTTTCCAGTCGTGGCAAGCTGACGCAGCGTTGAATTGATGTTAAGGCCGTAAAACACAGTGGAAGAAAAGTGGCTCTCTATCTCTCTTTCTTAGTGTTGTGCAGATGCTAAACGTATTGTTTGCTGTGTTAAACATTGAAGACCACATACTTCTGTACTTCAGTAGTTATAAAAATTCAATTAAGTAAGATCACCCAGTAAGTCCCCCAAAAATAAAGTCTAAGAGTAGAATCCTGGCAAATTCCCTCCTTGGCAATTTGAATTAATTGATTGCAGCCAATAATTACAATTATCACTGCATGAGCTAATGATTGAAGAGCAGTTAATGATGGTAAGTGGACTTTTTAAATCCAACAACACACAGGTGAATTTTAAACGACGGATGTATATGCAATAATTGATGTTAGAGGATTGCCGGGGAATGTTTCATTTGGATTCAAGGATAGGACGGAACACAAATGAGTAGTGTTGGAACATGTATGTGGGCTCTCCATAGCAGGCAGCCAAACACAATGACAAACCATTTTCCTTCTGAGGGAAAACAGATAAAGCCAGCCCTTTTTCATTATGCAAATGTATTGCCTGCAACATCTTATAATCTTGTACTTATCAGTGATAACATACTGGCAATTTCAACTGCTACTTTGAGAAACATTATATCCTGCCTGTCCTTAGCATCTAAACGAAATTTGGCTTCTTTATAAATATCACTTTTTCATCATTACATACAGTATTCATCGTAAATAGGATCTACACAATTATTGATCAACAATTGGGGAAAACACAATTTTTTGTGGGAGTGAAACTTTTGTGGCCCAAACCCAATGACAACCACTTTTGGTGTAAAATACGGCCGTGAGAGAGGACAAACCCTTCTGCAGAACAACTGGAACACAGCTCATTCAAGTGACCGTCGATGCTAAAGCAATCTCTGCTCACCTTTTCTCCCCTTTGAACCACTCAAATGTTGGCGAAGGCACAGCAGCCGCCTCACACCTCAGCAGAGCTGTGCGTCCCAAACTAACACCGTGGCTCTTCATCTCATGGATGGATGGGGCAACTGGAGAAAACAAGGACACACTTGTTAGAAAAAAAACACATTTCTATTGTCCTTCAAACGAATTTGTTTGTGACAATTGAGTCGTTGAGAGCTAAACTGGATGATTTTATTGAGAAAATGATGAGGAATGAAAGCTTTTCATACCACAGTCAACGTTCACGCTTTGCAAAACTTCTGAAAGAGACAGAGCTGGGCAGGGGAGAGTGCATCCCTCCCCGCTGTTGGGAAAATGAAATGACTTGTACTGGATGGCGATAAATGGCTTAATGGGAGTTCAAAGACTCAATGGCGGCGGCAGGTTCTGTGAATGCAAAATGAGGCTCCTTTTATGTGAAGAAGTGTGAAGGAAATCTCTATTCTTCCATTGTCATGAAGGCAGCCGTACATGTAGAGAATTTCGGAGGCAATCCATGCCTTTGTGTGCCAAATATTTACATTGCTTTGAGTAGACACAACCTTCAAAGAAATTGAATTCACGTGCAATGACAAAGAATCCAATTCGGACGGCAGTTTCCTGTTTGTTTCCTGATAAAACGTGTGACACCCACTGTTATAGTTTAACACGTAACAACGAGCACTGAATGACCCTTATCTGCGTAATTCAACTTTAGGGCTTCGCAAACCAGCGTGTCGTGAAATGTAACAAGAAAATACAGAATGGGATGAGATCTGTAGTTTGGTCAATGCTCCTGGATAAATTCATCAAACGGTACCTGATATTCCACCTTCTACCTGCAGTATCCTTACAGTGGAAACATGTGTGACAAGAAATAATGAAGAGTGGAATGTGGACTGTAGCCGCAGGGTTAGCTCCCTGCTAACCTACAGATATCTGACAGACGAGGTGGGATGCGAGAGATGTGTGCAGTACGAAGAAGATCCACGTGAGCTTTTGTAAAGGTGGACTACGTTTGCATAGGAGAGGCCGAGGGAGGTGACAGTGTGCTCTGTGATGATGAATTTCCTTCCACCAACATTCTGCTGCAACCTAAGGAACACACTCATATGACTTGAGTCTGCTGATTTTATGTCCTTGCATGTGTGTGCCAATTATACCAACTCCTTCCACTTTTCTAAGGCTGGGCTGACGAATCTGAAAGACCTGAGGTTCGGCTATCGCGTTTCCTATTCATTTATCACTGTAGGGAATGTTAGATGCCACGCTGTGGGGTAGTGACAGACTTTGCCCGCCTTTCCGTGCTGGCTGTATGTGCAAATGGGTGTGCAGGCTTTCAGTGTGCATACCGTTATTAAAAAAGCAATAACCCGATTCAAATCCTCACCCACTCAATTTGAATCATTCGTGGTAATCAAACCGCACTATCAACTGGGAGAAAAATAAACACGCACTCAAACTGTTACTGTGTGTCTGTGAAGATGTGCCTTGAAAAGGCAATATATATATATATATAGTTTTTAATAGAATTCAGAGTGGACCACTTAATCCGGCTCATGAAGTCGGCATTACAAATAAAATAAGCCATTAGCACTGAGCAACAGCACACAAATGTTAGGCACATCACAATTAGGACAAACTCAATGATGTAGTACAGGGGTAGGAAATTCCGGTTCCTCGAGAGCCATATCCTGTCTGTTTTAGGTCCCTCCCTACTCCAACACACCTGATTCAAATGATCAGCTCATCAGCAAGCTCTGTCAAGGCCTGAACAATCGAATCAGGTGTGTTGGAATAGGGAGGGGCCTAAAATAGGCAGGATATGGCTCTGGAGGAACCGGAGTTCCCCACCCCTGCCTTAGTCCTTCACATCAGTAGCTACTAGGGCAGGGGTAGAGAACTCCGGTTCCTCCAGAGCCATATCCTGCCTGTTTTAGAGCTCTCCCGAACCCAACACACCTGATTTAATTGATCATGATTGTTTCAGGCTTCGACAGAGCTTGCTGATGAGCTGCTCGTTTGAATCAGGTGTGTTGAAGTAGACAGAGATCCAAAAGGTTCTCAAAATCCTCCACTGACATCTTTATGCAGTGCCAATGATTGTCTGGAGCCTCTGAAAGCAAGATTTTGACGTAGGGATGTTTGAGAGCACAGAGGCGAATTATTATTATTTTGTTTTTGTAAAAGCTAAGCACAGATTCACACGAGTTCAGAAATATAAATCAATTCATGTTGCAATGTTTTCTTTGAGAAAGGAACGTTGTGATGAAAGGTAGACATGAAAACAACACAACCTGGTGAAATGTAACTGCAGTAGGCTAACAAAGACCTCTGCATCCTCTTAGGACACTTTGGACTGTTTTTATTTTTTCTATTTTATTTTTTTCAACTACTACTCAAGGAAGTGGACATGTGTTTCATCTGCCGGGGCGGTGCAGGGGTGTTTCCTTATTTTGTGATGTAGGAAAGTGAGGACCCAGTAGTGTTTTTGGATTGGGAGGGTAGGAATGAACATGAATGCTCCGAGATGAATGAATGGAACACCACACCACTTTGGGGGTGTTTTTGGTGAGTAATTGGCATTTTAACATGGCTAAAAGTTTAACAAAAAAAACAAACAAAAAAAAAAGTTGATTTAGCAGGGCATGGCCCCTTTAAGAAACAATACGTTGGTGTTACAACTGGTGCTACAATTAAATTTTAATCTGAAACAAGAAAAGGAGTTTCCAAATATTAAGAATAAATTTGACAACAACCATTGTTAAACTTCTCAATCATTGATATAGAAAAGTGTGTGAACACCACAGCCTTCCATTTCCAGTGGCGCAAGTCTCATTAGGGTTGTGTGTTTGCTGGAATCAATCCCAGCTGATTTCAGGCTTATTATTGACTCCAAAATAGAGAGATAGATAGATAGATGATGTAGCTGTTTTTCCCAGACAATTTCCTTTTTCATGAGGATACATTTCTTAATTATTATAGTTTTTTTTTTTAATCTCACCGGTCTGAGTTTTCAAGGTGGACTGCAAAATATTTCTCAGTGGGATATGTGAATCTGATTTAGCATTTACTGATCCAGTGAGGGGCTGAGCATATATATTACCTATTATCTTCCTCCTTATCAAGGGCACCTTACATAACTGTTTACCACACAAGGTATCTAATCTATGCGTTAGAAGAATTCATAACAGTTCAGGAAAGCAATGGTTCTGCTCACCATTTTTGGACCTCTCTAAAAAAGAAAAAAAGAATGACCACAGGCTTATAGGTGGTCCAGTATGATTTACCTGTACATGTATAACAATTGAATAAAATCTTTCAAATTAGGTCCTGCCACTCAGCTCTGTGAAGAATGATGACACCTATAAAAAGCTCTCCTGTCCGATAATTCCAATTTCAACTTGATGACATGTCCTACATCATCATACTGTGTGACGCGGAAAACTCATTCACTGCTTGGGGAGAAATGCAAAATAGTGGACGACAATTCCTGAAAGTACAATAAGCCAGGTCATTTTGTGTCCTGAGCATGTTGTGGTGGTGCTGTAAATCATACTTGGATTCATGGCGATGCCACCGGATTGGGGTGAGGGGTTGGGTCGAAGAATAGCAAACACCCCTCCACCCACACACACAGAGCAGAAAAAAAATATATGGCCTCCGTTGTCCTGCCTGATGACAAATGGCCAGTTGCGGGTCGATTACAAACCAAATTCCCTTGCATCTATATTATGCTGAGCTTGTCGTCTAAACAAATGCAAGGTCTCCAACTGTGCATCGCTGCAAAGTGAACAAACACTCACATGTTAATGATTAGTAAAATGTTTGACCCTCAATGTAATATTCATGACCAGGTCGTGTTCAGAATGCATCAAACCTGAATGTAAAATCATTCACCTTAAGAAGACTCATGAGACGATTAATGATTAATGGGCTTGTTTCAAGACTGAGGGTCAGATGTGTGTATGCAGGAATGTGTGAAGCAAAAAGTTACCAACCTTTGACAATAATTTGTAGCACCCAGACATGAATAAACAATTAGCGACTGACTCGGCACGAAATATGATATCTTGGTAAATCTAATGCTAAATACTTTCGAAGTTGTACGATCCAGAGGGAAAAATACACTTCACTCCACTATTATTGAAAGTGTTCTTTAGATTCCAACACGTTTTTTTTCTTTAGAATATAGGACACAAATTAAAAAAAAAAAAGAGGAAAATTCAACCTTCATGTGCATTTTTTCAGCGGTGGGGAAAAAAAAGAAATCCCAAATTAAGAATAAATTGTTTTACGTCAAATCATATGTAACATAATTGTATAAAAGCATGAAATAACATTAGAGATGAGGAATCACAGGTTATTTTAAGGCAGTTTCCCCAAGACCTACTGCTTAGGTAATGATGCACATTGTCTACTAATCTCTCATTTTGGTATACTCTGATGACAAATTTAACTTTTGGATTGCTGGGAAATTAAAATAGAGATTTAAGGGGGGCAGGGGGGTATTTTTGCGACATGTGTACTCTTTACTCTTTTCACATGACCACAGTTACGCCCATAAAATCGCTCCGGTGAGTAAAACCATCCCGTTCACATAATTTATTTAGATACCAACTCTTACTCGCCATGAGAACACAAGCTTTTTTTTAATTAAAAGATCAATTAACATCCCTATCTCTTCAGTCAGATTGGAAAATGAGTTTTCAACGCAATTAAGAAATGGACTCATCGGTGCATGACTTATCAGCTTACACACAGAGACACTGTTCCCAACTGCCATCTGTGGGATTCACTGTCATCTCTATTTTTTTTTTTTTTACTGTCAGTCAGGAATGGTTCTGCTGCCAAGATTTATTAATTCAATAAGATTTCTATTCAGAACAGCGGAAGGCGCATTGTGTTCCTCCTGTTTTATTTCATGAAAGGCATATAAATAACCAGCTTAGTTGGAATTGTGTGACTCCCACGGGACATTCAATCTATTGTGTGATTTTACCACCTAACAGTTTAAGGTACGCTCATACACGGATGCGATTCACGGATTATTCAAGGAGGACCACAAAAGAAAGCTGTCAATTGTGAAAACTGTCTGCTACAAAGG